CCGCCGGATTTTATCGTTTTCTCGTGGGACCGGTGGCCCAGTGCGCGAAGGAAGGCAACGGAGCAGGCCTGGCGTCCAAGAGACCCCTGATCGTTCTCCTCAGCTCGGAGCGCGTGGAGCGAAAGCTCAGGTTGCCGAACCCAGAGATCCTGAGTCCGAACCCCCGACCTTGAATGTCTCAATATGGAGCAGCAGCACACCGGCGAGCGGCCGTGTAATCAATACCGGTTAGCTCGCAACAACGCGCTCCAAGGTTGTCAAACCCGCCGACACACAGCCGCTAAACTAGGCTGAAGAGAAAGAGAGAAAGAAGCCAAGCTGATTGCAAGCAATACGCAAGCTTTCAAAATCTTGAAAACCCAAAGTCCCGGGGAGTTTAAGGTGTTGCAAGTTCCCCAGCTCGCCCGAGCCTTTATTTTTTCCATTATTATTGTCTGGCTCCCTTTCCCCCGACCGGTTGTCTCCCGACTCGTGGTGGCACACGGGATGTCACGTGCCGTTTTTTTCCCCCGATGACGCAAGACGGCTCAAGTGTGCGCACCGGTGGGCGATCGATGCCTTCCGGGGCCCAGCACGCGCGGGGGATATTCCAGCGATGACGTCGGCATCGCGAAGGTTCTTCCCAAAACGGGAAACGCGTGGGATATGTGTGTATCGCATGCGCTGCTGACGTCAAGCGTGAGTCTCGCGCGCGGTGGCACTAATTTGTTTGCTCCGATTCGCCCGGTTATTTGGGTCGCCCACGTATTATGTACGACCCGGAAAGTGGTGCGTAGAAAAAGGTAGCGTGAAAGCAGGACCAACTTGGTCCTGCGGGAAAGGAAGCGTGAAACGATTAGGGAGTTTTAGTGGACCGTGTTTCCCCCTCCGCTAACCCTTCGCTACAAAGAAATTGCCACTGCGCCTGCGACGATGGCCTTGGCTGTAGAGTTCCGGGTAGCGGAGGGGTTTAGCGGAGCGAGAAACACTGTCTACTAAAACTCGCTAATAGCGAGTTTTAGTAGACCGTGTTTGACACCACGTAGACCGCGGGGTGACACTTTCGTTTGTTGTTGGGTACGCGAAATAGTTGGGACACCAGGCACGTAGGCAAGGGGGGGGGGGAGGGAGGGGCATGCGGCTCCCCCCCCCCCCTTGATATCTTCCATTTTGCTGGGGCCTTGTCCCCCCCCCTCCACTCATACAGCATTTTGTTATGGGCGCCCCCCCCCCCCCTCCCCCCGAATCCAAATGCTGGCTACGTGCCTGTGGGACACTTATATTTTGTGTAACTTAAAACCCGAAGTTTGAAGCAGGAAGAGGACAATGAAATGCCCAAGTTCAATGTGAAACCGACTGTATAGATGGAGCAGAGAAATGGACTATGAAACGGATGTTTGAAGGGACCAGAAAGCGAATATCTCACAGGGTGACACGTCTTTGTTCCATCCACGGGAGGGCCACTTATAGACGCTTTACACACGCGCCAAATTACAGCCGCCATTACTGACCTTCTCTTGTCTTACCGAGATGGCGAGCAACTGAAACGGTAGTTGACGATCCTCTACAAAATCCGATGCTTTAGAAAAGGACACAGTTGAATCTAATATGGCACTAACCTTGCCTGTTATGGTAATGATGAAGGGAAACGAACGGAACAAGTGGAAACAAAAACTGAAGGTCAGTTATGGCGGCGTCCATGCACAGCTACTGCAAAGCGTCTATACGTTATATACTACAGGTAGGATACTGTGTTTCCGGAGTTTTTTTTTTTTTTTTTTTTCTCGTGAATTTCGTTTATCGGAGCTTATTTTTCGCTAAAAATCCCAGGTTTATCGGAGTTTATTTTTATTAGATTTCAAGTTTTCCGAAATTTGGAGTTCAATTTCACAATGCTCGCAATTAAAAAAAAAACAAAAAAAACAATGTTGAATGAACTTGGGGACTATGATCGTTCTCCTGGACAACTTGACGAGCTACAAGGCAAACCCCTTTTGTCAGTTGTTGGAGGTTTCAAAGGAAACGGAAGTGGCCTCTCAGGACCACTGACTCTGTCCTCCTATCAAATCTATTTGTAAAACACTGTCTTTTCTTGCTTTTTTTTATTTTATTGTTGTGACCTCGAAATTCGAAGTATTTCGGATAAATCCGATTTGACAGAAAATTCACTGGCGAGTGTTTTTCCGATTTCTTTTTCGGATTTATCCGAAAACACAGAACCCTTACTTAGGCAACCTGGAAGCTTGAGTGGGGGAAAGAACCATGAAACGCGCATGCATGTTGAAAAGGACCATGAAACGGTCGTCTCGCGCGATGAAACTGCTGGGTGTCGATAAAACTTTTAAGCCGATTAATCGCCACCCTTTAATCGATTCAGTAACCGATTAATCGGCCTCGTCCATTTACATACATAATATATTTAAAAAAAAATGTATATATTTTCCTTTTGCTGCAATATGTGACAAATGGAACAATGTACAAGTTAGATTCCGCATCAACCTCCATGCGTAGCTGAGAACAGTTGAAAGAGACTCACACTCACAGATTATTAGTTCAGCTGCATGAGGCAAAGAGATTTGTTCATATCCTCCGGCAAGAGCGACCTCCCTTGGTGGTTCACAATAGTCCATGCTGCGCTAAACGGATACTCGAACGACGTCGAGGTGGGCGGGACATGTGCAACCTTCTACAACTGTCTGGAGTTACAACTCTCGCTCCTATAGTTCACTTTAGGCTAGAAATTTTACCGAAAGTTTGCCCTTCATACAGTTGCATATACTCGTCCAGGTCTGCGTGATGAAAGCGCAAAATGAAGACGCCGAACTCTGGACATCTACCGCCATCTATGAGCGACGGCGGAAAGCTGAGTATCTGGTTGCCGCCGTCGCTCATAGATGGCGGCACCTTTCCACTCTGGCTTGCCGACTTGCGGCCGGCCATTACTTTCCATTGTACAGCTACAGTGGCCGTAGTACAGCTCCGCTGGTCTTCCTTCTTTACCAGAGTGGAAAGGCTGAAAGTGTGTTTACTTTCTTTTGATTCGTCAAGTTATTACCGACTAACCGGTTAAAAAAATTAATCGAGATTAAAACATTAATGGATTAGTCGGTAGGTTCATCAATCAATTGCCCAGCCCTATTTTTCACTAATTTGATTCGATCAGCGGCAGCTATTTTACAAAGGTGAAGTGAAACAGGGAAAGGACCAATCCAACGCATGCCTGAGAGAACCCTGAAGTGAGAACGAAAGAGTTTGGACCAGCCAACGCTCAGTACAATAGGTAGTACTCGGTTTCACAGCTATAGCTCGTATTCACCGCCAAAACAATAGTAAAACAAAACAACAACAAAAAAAAAAAAAACAGGTTTTTGGAGGAGCGTTATTTATTTCCTCTTTCTTGTTGTGAATTAAGATATCAGTAGGTGAACCTTAGGTCAGCTCTATGTTAATTTATCAAGACGTGCTTGCAGGTTTCGAGCGCCAAAAGCAGCGTTTCTTTCTTCGACAACCAAATCTTAGGAGAACTACTTTGCGCATGCGAAATGAGAACTTCCTGTTTTCTTGATGTCGCAAAGCGGTGTAGTAAACACCAACCCAGAAATACATTTAAAACCATTTAGAAATCGCATCTCTTATCTTTAGCATCAAATTGAAATAACGCTCGCAAGTTAGAGATGTTATTGTATACGGGGTGTTTCAGCGAAGACTTCCAAAAAGTCTTATTAATATGGTAGTTAAGAAAAAAAAAGATTAAAAAAAAACATACTGCTAAATAGTAAACAAGAATGAACTAACTGTCAATTAGTAAAAAATAAACATATGGCTCCAATTCGAAACGAGCTCAACGTTTCTAATTGAAACCATACGTTTATTTTCAAACCATAAAAAGTTAACGAGTGAATTTTAGTGAATTATTTAGCTAATTAGTGTGTGTCTGTGTGTGTTTTGCAATGCCTGACGTTTGTCATGACTGGCAGTGTATTTCCGAAAAGAGTTTTTTTTTTTCCTTATCCACCTTTTGGTAGGAATCCTTGAAAGAATTTGTTGAAACACCCGGTATGGTGTATTATTTCGTTCCATATTAAATAACATTTTTATGTCTGTTAGTATTTATATGCAGTGGCGTTATGTTTTTGTTTCTGGGTGATTCTGTGCTGCTAGACTGTACAGGGGGATCTTGCCTAGTCAGGCGACATCTGTGGCCTTGTGCCCCCATCCTCCTAAACGCATGTTCGAAGAAAAAGGTTATTCAAACAATAACGCTCGGATGAAACTTCTAGTTTCATTCGAGCTTAGGCTCGTGAACGTCATTTAGCGAGACGTATTACCGTGTACTAGACCGTCTAGCTTCTGCCGTGGGCCTTACAGCTCTTGTCAGTTTCGCAGAAACGATCTATTCTTATTTAGTCACACGGACAGTTTTCACGTGCGTACCCTTGGAACGTATTGCAGCCTGCAGGAAAAGTGCCACGGCGATCCAAGATTACTCGAGCGTGTGATCATCCCTGCATTGCCTCGGCAGTAAAACTACTAAAATTAATAAAAAAAAGAAAAAAGAGAGACCAATAAAGAGGGGTGTGACATCCCTCGAAGAATTCCGCGCGCCTGCTAGGGACTCGAAACGATCCAGAAGGCGCCACCGACAACGCGATAAGAGCAATGGATAAGAGAAAGAAGAGAAGGCGAACAAGCAGCCGTGCATCTGTTCCCCGCTCCTCGCACTGCGCCTCTTACCTCATACTCTCTCTCTCTCTCTCTCTCTCTCGGGCTGCCGGGATCTTTCTTTGGATATTTTCAAGGTAGCAGAAAGCCCGCTTGAATGTGCTCGAGTGGAAGGTATTTCCTTACTTTACTCAGCAGACGACGAGATAGACAGACGCCCTGCAGCCCTGGCGGCAAGATCAAAGCTAAGCCCGCCCAAATAAATAAATAAAATAAAGAAAAGAAAGAGATGTACCGACATCTTTTGAAAACTCGCGCCCGTTTCTCCCATTGGAGAATCAGAGTCACGAGAGAGAGCGCGCGCTTTTTGTTTCTGCTGTTTTTGCTCGACGACGAGCCTTCCGTCGCCATTTTTGTACCGAGAGCGGCGCGGCCGCGCTCTGCTCTTCGTTATGACGGGCTGCTGCGCCTTCGGGTGCAAGCGGCGTCACTCGGACGGGACAAAGCTTTTCAGCATTCCGTCCGGCAAGCGCGATGCAGCTCGCAGGAAGGTTTGGCTACACAGGATCGGCCGGGCCAACTTCGAGCCGACGCCATCCACGCGCCTCTGCGAGGTGAGTGGACGCGTGCCGAACTTTAGATTCGGCAAAGGTCGGCACTTGGCGAACTTTAAGTTCGAGAAAGATTCGGCGAAAATTCGGCAAATGTCTGCGCACGCGTGAGAACGCGGCGGGGCCGGCGGGCCGTGGATTGCAAATGGGCGCCGTGCGGTCGTGAGGTTGCCATCGTACATTGTAGTACAACCAGCGGTTACGGCGAGGCGTGGAGTAGGCAGCACGGTAACTGTGCTTATGTGAGCATTTGCGAGTGCGGTTCTCTTCAATCTTTTCTGCCTCAAGAACAGAAGATCGACCAGGAATTGACGCAGTCCACTGCGCAAGTGACGAATGATGCGGTACATTCTGAGTGGCGTGATTTTCATTTGACCTTTCCTGTGATGCAACGAGGTAGTTGAAACATTGACTGACAATTATTTTAAGCACTCCTCGCAATTATAATAATTCTCTTTGGGCTCACATGTAGTCTGTGCCAAAGCGAAACAATATTGCGTTTTGATAAGCGTTATTCCGCGTTTTTCGTGTATATGCATAAAACTATATTCAGAACTATCATGCTCGACGTTGCACACCCGACATTCCTAACACTTCACATCTTCCTAAACGTCCGTGTGTGTCCTAACATCAGAAACAGGCATTTTAAAGGTTGAAAACGAGACGTTTAAAGCTGACGTCAAGTGACTCAAGTCGAAAAACATGCATATTTACATTAATATTGTTATCTGTTCTGGTGAAGGCTCAACAACCGCTGCATTCGTTTTCGTGCACGAAACGGTGACTGCCATAAGAAGTAGGAACACAGTGCTATTGTCTTTATTTTAACAATGTACACACACACTTGCAGGCTTGCGCTGATGAGGCCTCAAAACCGAAACTTTCGTAGCATTATTCGTGAGGGCGACGCTACTACCCAACCTTGTTGTCACGCTACTTCTGCAGGTAACTGTAAAATTGCCAGTAAACACAAAAATGACAACGATACAATTGTCTTGTAGAAAATCAAATTATTTAGTAATAACTGTGTCAATATGCATTACATGTTGTATTTAAGTTTAAAAAAATACACATAAAACCTTCTTTTGACAGAAAAAAAAAGAAACTAAACATCAACTTTAAGTCTGGCAACAATGTATTTTTGCCGAATCATTGCCGATCTTTTTTTGTAAACGTTCCGCCCATCACTAGTATCGCACAGCACTTAGTGCATTTATGTATATATATATATATATATATATGAAAATAAATGTATGGTTTCAATTAGAAACGTTGAGCTCGTTGCTAATTGGAGCCATATGTTTATTTTTTACTAATTAACAGTTAGTTCATTCTTGTTTACTATTTAGCAGTATGTTTTTTTTTTTAATTTTTTTTTTCTCAAGTACTCTATTAATAAGAATTTTCGGAAGTCTTCGTTCAAACACCCCGTATACTTTAACATTTCTAACGAGCCAGCGTTATTTCAATTTGATGCTAAAGATAAGAGATGCGATTTCTAAATGGTTTTAAATGTGTGTATTGTTTTTGGAGTTACGAACCATTCCCATTATTTCTGGGTTGGTGTTTACTACACCCCTTTGCGACATCAAGAAAACAGGAAGTTCTCATTTCGCATGCGCAAAGTATGTTCTCATGAGATTTGGTTGTCGAAGGAAGAAACGCTGCTTTTGGCGCTCGAAACCTGCACGCACGTCTTGATAAACTAACATAGAGCTCACCTAAGACTCACCTACTGATATATTAATTCACGACATGAAAGAGGAAATGAGTAACGCTCCTCCAAAAACCTTTTTTTTTTTTTTACTATTGTTTTTGCGGTGAATACGAGCTATAGCTGTGAAACCGCGTTGGCTGGTCCAAACTCTTTCATTCTCACTTCAGGGTTCTCTCAGGCATGCGTTGGATTGGTCCTTTCCCCGTTTCACTTTACCTTTGTAAAATAGCTGCCCCTGATCGAATCAAATTAGTGAAGAATAGGGCTGGGCAATTGATTGATGAACCTACCGACTAATCCATTCATGTTTTAATCTCGATTAACTTTTTTAACCGGTTAGTCGGTAATAACTTGACGAATCAAAACAAAGTAAACACACTTTCAGCCTTTCCACTCTGGTAAAAAAGGAAGACCAGCGGAGCTGTACAATGGAAATTAATGGCCGGCCGCAAGTCGGCAAGCCAGAGTGGAAAGGTGCCGCCATCTATGAGCGACGGTGGCAACCAGAAACGTAGCTTGCCGTCGTTGCTCATAGATGGCGGTAGATGTCCAAAGTTCGGCGTCTTCATTTTTTTTTGCAGGAGACAGGATCCTGGGGAAATTATCCCTTAACAGCTCCGCTGTAAAAATTGAGCGCTTTCATCACGCAGACGTGGACGAGTGTATGTACCTGTACGAAGGGCAAACTTTAGGTGAAATTTCTAGCCTAAAGGAAACTGTAGGGGCGAGATTTGTAACCCCAGACAGTTGTAGAAGGTTGCACGTGTCCCGCCCACTTCGACGCCGTTCGAGTGTCCGTTTAGCGCAGCATGGACTATTGTGAACCACCAAGGGAGGTCGCTTTTGACGGAGAATGTCAACGAATCTCTTTGCCTCATGCAGCTGAACTAATAATCTGAGAGTGTGAGTCTCTTTCAACTGTTCTCAACTACACATGGAGGTTGATGCGAAATCTAACTTGTACATTGCTCCATTTGTCACATATTGCAGCAAAAAGGAAAATATATGCATTTTTTTTAAATATTATACTATGTATGTAAATGGACGAGGCCGATTAATCGGTTACTGAATCGATTAAAGGGTGGCGATTAATCGGCTTAAAAGTTTTATCGACACCTAGCAGTTTCATATATATATATATATATATATATACAGGGTGTCACAAAAGAAAATTTACACCGTCTTTTTTACCCCAAAAATAAACTAGGCATCGCCGAACGCTCATTGTCCGGCCAGTGGTAGCGCTAGAGGTCACAGCTAGATGCTAGAATTTCAGCCCGACCTTAATCAAAAGTTATAAGTGATTTTCTGAAAATTTCAATGGGAAAATGGAGCCCATTTTTGCCCGTTTTCGGTTTCTGGTGCCATAGAGCCCCATGTATTCGAAAACTCCTTCGGCCGCCATTTTCCCATTGAACTTTTCAGAAAATCACGTATAACTTTTGATTAAGATATCGGATCGGGCTGAAACTTTGGCATCTGGTTGTGACCTCTAGCGCTACCTTTGGGCGGAGAATAAGCGTTCGGCGATGCCTATAGTTTATTTTTGCGGCGAAAACGACCGTGTAAATTTTCTTTTGTGACACCCTGTATATATTTTTTTTTCGACATTTTGTAAACCCTGAGATGGGGAACGATAAAAAAAAAACAGACGAACACAACAAAATCTCAACAAAATTGGGATTTTGTTGTGTTCGTCCGTTTTTTTTTATCGTTCGCCATCTCAGGGTTTACAAGATGTCGGTTAATTACCAGCTCGCCTGCACTCTCTCACTGCTGACAATTTTTTTTTCTTATTTTTTTTTTTAGCTTTACAGATTTGTTTAAAAAAAGCCGTGAAAATGGGGGACAAAGAGCTCGATAAGGCGCCCCCTATAGTTCGATCTCCTGCCCATTAGCTGGCGATTTCAGAAGGTAGATTTTGCGCACGTATTAATCCAGGTGCGTTCCCTGCAGTGCGACGTTGAACGGTCGCCTATCCCTGATCTAAAATGTATAACAAAGCATTGCGCAGCGTGTATTTGTTACCAAGCACTATTATTCAAATGGTGGCTTAAAACAATTTCGCAAGCAAAACCTCTAATACCCCTGTCAGACGGGCATTTTAAAGGCCTTTAGAACAAGCTCCTTTATAAAATCGGCGAACCAGGGCATGCCGTAGGGCACGTGCGCACTCAACATCGCGAGCTGATTGGCCGATTTTATAAAGTAACTTAGTAAAAAGGACCCTTAGAACGCCGTCTGACACGGTTATTAGGCACACACAACGACATATAATCCCTAGAATGCATAGGAATTACGAAAAAAAAAAAGGTTACGAAATTTTTATATACCTACTATTTAAACAAACTTCCAAAAGAATCGATGAATATTAATTCGCTGAAGAAAGTAAGAAAAACGGGCGGCGCAGAAAAGCTCACCCCGGAGAAAAGCTTACCGCCAACTGTTCGATGCGGAGAAAAGCTCATACGCTTTTCACGGATTCGGAGAAAAGCTCACTTGCGAATCTTATCGGGCGCGTTCACTCGAGTGAATTATGTCCACACATCAGGCCCTCTTCTTAGCGTCGGGCGGGGTGTCATTTAGTCAATAAAGGTTTACTCAGGCACACACAACTAAAGTATGCTGGAGCTTGGGAATTCATTTTCAAAATATAAATACGTCCAGGTGTTGTGAGACAAATATCAAATAAATGATTTCAACAGAACACCAGTAGAAAAGATGTGGGTACTTTTTTTCTGCTTTATATTAGCTTTGATCTTGCCGCGAGGGCTGCAGGGCGTCTAGCTTGTCGTCTGCTGAGTAAAGTAAGGAAGTAGCACATTCCAGTGAACGTTCTGTGATCTTGCAAAGATCCAGAGATCCCGGTGGCCCGAGAGAGAGGGAACAAAATCAAATTGGTCGCTGCATATGTTTACTGCTGCATCAATTCGCGTAGAACTACGGCCGTAGTTGAAGAAACGTCCACGGGCTTATGGCAGATGACGATGTCGGGTGCGCAAAAAGCGAACGCCCGCGGCTCGGAGTCCGGTAGAGGCAAATGTCCAGCCCCTCGCGTCGCCATCTCCGAGGCGCATATGCGGAACTGCGCCACATTGCCTATTGTCGACATTTCGCCATTTGTTTAAGCGGCGGTTTCAACTCTCGCCTCATTCAAACAGAAAAAGAAAAGAAAAATCGAATATCTTTTATCCCGTTTACGTCAGAATTAAATTTCGTAACACTCACGCGAAACAGGTTGACATAAAAGAGGAAGGAGAACTACAGCCAGGGTGAAGAATGAAAATCAAGAGGACTTAAATCGTGATTCAAATCGGACCAATTTTAAATAAATATGTTACTTTTTTTTTAATTACCATTTGTTTATTATTTTATGCTTTCAGTATGAGCATATGTTCTGTATTTAAATCGAAGAATCATCGCGCAAGAAAGATTTATACCGGACAGAGCACGAGCAAAAAGCAGTGGTCTTCGGAGCGGATAGATGCATTGAGCTTTATTTCTACTTCCGAAACGACTTCGTTCGTCAGTTACGTCACATCTTTTTTGCGATGAAATCAGAACGCAAAAGATAAAAACGAAAACTCGGAACTGAGTAATCACATGTTGTCAGAAAATCAGATCGCGAAAAAGAACAACCAATCCAGCTTTTTCGCTAACAAAAAAACTACGCTCTGTTTGTTCCAGTGTGGCGGGGTTTTCATCAACGTCCTTAGATTAGCTCAGTTACGGCAGTGCTCATAGACGCCTGCATGCACGAGCAGTACCCCCCCCCCTTCATTCACCACGACTCGCCTCCTATCGTTCGACGCGCCGGACGGCTGCTTTGGTAACTGCAGCATATTCTATGGGATACGTTAATCTTGTTGAGTAAAGTCGGAGCAGTTTTTTTTTTTTTTTATCATTATGATTCCCGGCTTTTGGAATATTTTTGCATTCTATGGGATACGTACGTTTCGAAGCACAGCGTCTAGATGGCGTTCCACCGTTCTCTGTGGAACACATAGTTCGTAAACGAAAATCTAGATGGCGCATCGATCGACGGAAGGGACTGAAGTGAGTGAAGGGGGGTCCCCCTTCCGAGGGAGTTCCACAACCGAGGTATTCTAGAAAAGTTGGTTTTCAGGAGCAAAAAGCTGTTACTAATTCTTTTTTCCGCATTGTTTATTTTTACTGGTCGGAAGAATTGATCAAACAACCTGCCGTGTTTAAAAATGCATAAATAGTGATAAATAATCCATATGTTCTAGGTACGGTGATATTAGTATAACTTAAATCAACCAAATCTAACTTAATTGTTTTTAGATTTAAATTTGTTAAGCATTATTTTTTTCCTATTTTGCTTACAGCTGAGCGACCTGATGTGAAGTGTATACAGTGCATGGCACTGTCAACATAAATGAACAATAAGCTTTTTTTTTTACATCTTAGTGTTTGTTTTTAAAACTGGAAATTGCTCATTCGGGGCATAAGCGTACGCGATAAAAGTTTGACGCTGATTAACCCCTTCCCTAAGTAAAATGCGACAAATCGTATCGCGCTAACTCTGTTGCACGGTGTACCAACTGCGTGAGAGGCGCCTAGAACAGTGTTATTATTATTGCTATTAAATGATAATGACCACTTCACATAATAATTTAATTCGAGGTGAGCTTCTCTCTGGGTCTGTCAAAACACTGGTGAGCTTTTCTCCGGACCTGTACAAAAGTAAAGTGGGTGAGCTTCTCTCCGGTGAGCTTATCTCCAGTAAGCTTATCTCCAGTGAGCTTCCGGTAAGCGTTTTTCCTGGATTAAAAAACAAAACAAATAGAGAGTGGTCCTTAAAAGAGAATGGTAGTATAGGTAATTTAACTGCTTGATAAATGTGATATTTTTGTATCTTTTTTTTTAGAATGTAAAAAAAAATTGGGTTGTGTGTGTGTTTATACAGCCTAGAACTTGGTCTGCCTCACAGGGGCGACGAGTCTCCCAGCTGTAGATGAGAAATTTAGCCAGTGCGGTACAGCCGCTAGCCTGGGGTCTTTAACGTGCATCACGCAGTAGTGATACACGACCGCACGCCGGTACGATGCTCATCCAGATCGAAACGGGCAGGGGTGGGGCTCGAACCCAGGATCCCTGGGTTCTGCAGCGCGAGCTTTCGCTCCACGTGCTCCGAGCTGGTGTGCGCTAGACCACTCGGCCACCGATCCCCCCCTTTTTTTTTTTTCTTTTTTTTTAGAATGTATAAAGCGTGTGTAAAGTGCTTTCTGAATAGAGAGCAATGATCGCTGAACAAATTTCAATGCATGACGCAGCTTTGTTGTTGTTTTTTTTTGGTTGTCTCGTGTTAACAAAATATGCATTTCATCTTCGTTTTTTTTTTTTTTTTTTTTTTTTTTTTTTTTGTAAGCATAGTTTGAATGTGCACAAGATATATTTTTGTAAAGGAAAGTGTCTTGAGCGTTCAGATATTTTGTTGATAAATAATGGCGAGCATGTGATTTTGGTATATTGCATTTTTCTATTTGCCCGAAAAATTGTTATTTAGATTGTGAAAAAGAGGGGGAATTCACAAAGCATAGCGTCGATTGCAAGGCCCCGTCAAACAAGCCTTTACGGCTTTGACGGGCCCTATTGATGTATTTATGCTGATTGAAACAATGAAATAATAATAATAATAATTATTATTATTATTATTATTATTATTATTATTATTATTATTATTATCGGCTAAAGGATCCACCCAATTGCACACAGCAAAAGATTCGCTACATTTCATTTCATTTCATTTCATTTTATTACCTCAAAGGCACTCGACTTGCGAGCGCATTACATGAGGGGGGAAATTCATAATATACATTTAGAACTTCAAAACAGTATTTTCGCGTATATACTATTTACATCTTAGAATAATACGCACAAAAATGCACTGGGAAAAACGTGCACACAAAAGAGCAGGAAAAAGAACACATACATGATATAACATTGCAATTTCATATATTGTGACATAATTGAATGGGTGTAAACAAAAATTAACGCAAAAAAAAGATCAAGATGAAAATGCACAAATATACAAGAGCGTGCAAGGCAAATAAATATCAAGGTAGAGACCGCTTACTAACTGCTCATTCCGATGTACTGTTCACATTTTAATTTATATGCTGCTAGGTTAGTCTCCGATACCACTTCGTATGGCATATCGTTCCAATCTCTAATGCACATGACAACAGGCGATTAGGGAAATAATAGTGTGCGTGATTTGGGCGGCTGAATCTTGAGTTGGTGATCCGTTCTGGGTGATATATAGGAGGGCGGTTTGCAGTAGGTTTGCCTAAAAGTTGATGCGCTATTGAAAATGGTATGAAACAGACATAGTCGTGACAGCCGCCGACGTTTCTCAAGAGAATGTAGACCGAGGTTGTTTTTTAGTCACGTGACGCTAGTGAATGATGAATAGTCAGAGGAAATAAATCGGGCTGCCTTATTCTGGACGGACTCCAGTCTATCGACAAGGTATGCCTGATGAGGACTCCAAACAGCGCTAACGTATTCTAGTTTTGGAAGTATCAGCGAATTGTAGGTAAGCAATTTAGTGGACGGAGGTGCGAGAGATATATCTCTTTTCAAGAAGCCGAGGGTTTTATGAGCACTTGCTACTATGCAATCTACCTGATAAGACCAGTTTAACGTTTCTGTAAAGTGGACACCAAGGTACTTGTAAACAGACACCCTGTCGATGTTGCGTCATTGAAGGAAACATGGATTGGATGTTCCTCTTTCTTTCCCCAGGAACACTTCACCGAGGACCAATTCGAGCCACTGGTCCTTCAGAACCACGGCATCCGAAAGCTGAAGCCAGACGCCACCCCGAGCATTTTCGTCCACCGCAAGCACCGGGTCAAACGTAAGACGACGGTATTTGTTTTCTGTAGCAACAAAATACAAGTCAGGTGGAGAATGAAAGAAGCAGTCCGATCCTTCTTGGGATACAGATAAAGTCATTGCGGAACAAAAAAAAATCTTTCAGCCTTTCTATTTTGGTGAAGAAGGAAGACCAGCGGAGCTGTACAATGGAAAGTAATGGCCGGCCGCATGTCGGCAAGCCAGAGTGGAAAGGCTGCCGCCATCTATGAGCGACGGCGACAACCAGATACGTGGTTTGCCGCCGTCGTTCATAGATTCCGTTAGGTGCCCAGAGTTCGGCGTCTTCATTTCTTTGCGGGGGACACGATCCTGGGGAAACTATCCCTTAACAGCTCCGCTGTAAAACAATAAGCGAACGTATTTGGTCAAATTCCCTTCGACTGACTATTTCGTCCGTACACCTTAGAATTAAACGTCCTATATCATGTGCAGTTTCACTCGAGTGAAGCTCGAGCTTGCATCGCGCCCTGTCCCTGTCTCACACAGGCACATCATCAGCCTGCAGCGCAGCCCCTGCTGCTGATCAAGACACAACAGCCACGAGCAATACAGTCCGTGAGTGGGACTTTTGCTGAATGCTGCTGGTTTCGCACAGAGTGCACAACTCAATATCGCCTTCCACTCTTTCATCCACACCCACCACACATGCGGACCATGACGCCCGCTTGCCACAGCTCTCTGTACAAGGTTAGGACAGTATGCTGTCCGTAACCGGCTATAGCAGTAGATAATATGATCGTACTTTAACGCTTCACCTTTTTTCCTAACAATTGTTCCTCATACCGATTGGCTATGAATGCCCCACATGCAGGCCCACAAACTCCTTCAGCCTTCGGTGACCCACAGCCTCTGCCAGCAGCTGCGGCTGATGTTGTCGACCGTAAGGGCTTCTTTCTTGCAGTCAGCGGCATCATCAGCATCATTATCGTCCCGACGGATCTGCTGCGTCTGATGGCCTCCTTCTTCCCCGTGTCACGCAGGTACCACGTCAGCCTGTAGTGCGTCCTCTGCTCCTCACCAAGACGAAAGCGGTGGTGTGAACGGTAAGTAGCGACTTTCTATAGCACGGCTCGACATATACGGCGTCACCGTTCTTGTCTAATAAAACGGTATAAAAAACAGAAACATACACGCACACACACACCAGTCGGAGACTCGTTGTTGTAAGCACCATGCTGATGCTATGCCCTTCTTCGGTCGTGTTCTTTTAACAGGGAGCTCTTCGAGCACCCGGCCTGTCTCTGAAATCGCTGTGGCTGCGCTCCATAAGAGGATCGAGGAGCTAGAGGAGCAGCTACGAAGCACGAAACGAAGGCTGTCGCTCTCGCAACGACAGAGGAACAAAGCCGTCGAAGAAAAGAACTCGCTGGGGAAACAACTCCATCGGTTTCTGGCGCCCGACCAGCTGCAGTGCATGGGAAGTTCCACCATGAAAGGGACCCCGTGGTCGACGGCAACCATCGAGAAAGCGCTGAAGCTGAGGTTGGCGTGCGGGGCGCGAGGGTTCAATGTCGTCAGGGAGCTTGCCGCACCGCTGCCGACTGAACGGACCTTGCAGAGATACCTCGAAAAGTTCAAGTTTTCGCCCGGGAACCTACACAATGTGCTGCAATCGCTCGCTGTCAAAGTGAGTCGAGGAAGCGGCGATTTCACTCTTATTGTCCTTTGTCATGTAGGCGGTAGTCAGTAATTAGAGGTTATACTTTTTTTTTTTTTTTTTTTGCAATTGCCTACAGGGTAATGTAGTTTGGTTGCGCGACCACTCTTTTACGCATCACTGTGAGCAGGGCTCGCGACGCTTTCATTTTTGTGTATCAAAGTTTCGGAATCAAGCAACAAAAACGCGAGAACTGATCTATGAATATCTCAAAGCGCTGCTTTTCGTAAAATGTTTAAATTGGTGTAGCCTCAGGAAGTAATTTCTGTTCATAATGCAATTGCAACATAATCCATAAGCAAAAAGCAAAAAAAAAAAAAAAAGAGACCGGGTAAACATATAGTAAAAACATTTCTGTAACCCCCTCCCTCGGAGGCAATCAGTTAATCGAAAGATTGATTCATCTAAAACTCAAAAAAGTATTTTTTTTTGTTTTTTGTTTTTTATGGGTTGTTTTTAGTTGTCGCTGCGAAGCGGCATGTACGGGTGGGCCAGGTGGGTTAACGTTTTTGCAATGAGCCGCCGCAGACTGTCGCCGCGAACGCGCGACGAAATGTCCCTACAGCGTGCAACTCTCATAACGGATGTCAGTGAAACGTTTGTGGCGATAAAACGTGTGTCCACGTACGATACAGACACCCCCCCCCCCTCCCCCTCAACACACACAGACACAATTTTTTCTCATACCTGTTGTTATATAAAAACAAACATCCTGTACACCCATACATTACAGACAGATGTCAATTACACAAACACAACGTATCCTTTTGTACGCAGGATTTGCACTTTTCCTAACTTGATGACTGCAGCGGAGCAAACGTTTGAGCTTCATAATAGCAAATCAAATATACCGGTTGTGTTTTCTTTGCAGTGCTGCAATTCGTTGACTGGGTTGATGGGGACATTGCACGCAAATTCGATAATCCTTGTTTCCTTGTTTATCTTCCTTGTCTACAGGTGAACTTTATGGAAGACCACGAGCGACATGCCGTCCTCATGCTCGGTGAGATCCAGCTCACGACAGGACTCGCTTGTGAGCAGGAAACCGGCATTTCAACTCCTCCTTCAGTGGATGGCACTCGTCCGGAAGATGTGACGGTCACACACGGTCACGTGTTCATGTTGGGTGGTGTAACAACCCACTGGAGGCAGACAGTCGCGTACCACGTTACCGAGAATTCTTTCGGCAGTGACGCTGTCAAGAGTGTCACCCTAGCCATTCTTCAGGAATGTGAACAATTCGGCATCCGAGTAGATGACGTCGTCAGCGACATAGGAAATAAAAACTAAAGCCCTCCCCCGCCCGCCCGCCGAATAAAACCCATTCCTCCTATGCAGTGTTTTTTTTTTTTTTTTTGCTTTTGTTTTTTTGCTGGTGTAATGTGGCACCGCCTGGATTGTTTGAAAAAAAACGGACGCCTGCTTCAACGTGCTCGGTTGAGAGGTTGTTCTTGAGCTTTCATTTCAGTCACGATTTTCCGCATGTTTCGTGTGACTGGCTACTCACTTACAAAAACAGGTGTCCTCATTATTTTTAATTTTTTTGGACTTAATGACTTTCTGGGTTCCTACTGAATTCCTTTATAATCGCACTTTGTTTTGATTATTGTCAAAAAAAAATAGGGATTTTTTTTTTGTAGTTTAATTTATAAAAATATTAAAAATAAGTTGTAATTACGTTTTTTGTCGGGTCCGGACATTCAGACATTTCGTCGAACACCGTTTTATCGAACGCCGTTTCATCGAACGCCGTTTCACCGAAGCCGTTTCATCGAACGCCTTTTCATCGAACGCCTTTACAGCCTGTAATATTTTTGTAATTTATTTTAATTTTTATACACAACGTCATCTAATTCTCCTTTTTTTTTTAAATTACAGGATGCAGTGACGAGATAACTGCCTTTCCCATGTCACATGAAACAATCAAAAATGAGACAAAAAACAGAAACAATGTGCTTTCTGGGAAGCGTGTAGTGTTTTATTGTCTTACAGCGTGTACGCGTAACCTTCATGTGAAGATCCGGAAGGGTTCTGTCTTCTTGGGTGACGAGAGTACACCCAGGGCTTTACTACTGTCTGGTGCGGGTTGGTCTTCCTAAGAAAACATTCTGAAGATCGTTCATAGGCAAAAGGGTCGGTGATAAAGTTGACAGCGAAGAGGAGGGGGTTCCAGTCCGGGTGTAGCCCGAAACAATGTTGGCAGACACTTTGTGCAGCTTTTGTCTCTATAAAGTTTGAAAACTAAAAAAAAAAAAAAAAAAAAAAAAAAAGTTTCATCTGAGCATAAAGTTGATAATCGAGTATCAAACTAAAAAAAAAAAAAAAAGAAAGAAACGTTTAATCTGAGCATGAAGCTGATAATCAGAGTATCGTTATATTTTATTTCGTCTGCTCTCCTGGCAGAGTATCGTTATATTATAAGCGTGCTGTCCGGGCAGTTAAATGCTTTCCGTGAATAAACCTTGAACTAAGCGTAAGGGTGCAAAGGAGCTGGTGTGGCTTGTACATTACTGAAACACCCAGACAGACGGTAAAAAATGACACACACTTAAAAGTATTTTAAGTGTCGGTCCTTTACCTGCAGGGTGATGGTTTCAGTCGTGTACATGAGCAAAGCTTTTCAGTAAGTCGCATACCCATTTGTTTTTATTTCTTTTTATACCAATTTTTTTATTTCTAGTACTTTGATTCCACCTTCAAAACAGTTTCACAAGTGACTACTTTAGTCTTAACAAATGCGAGGTAAAACATCTTTAAAGCACTGTTATGCTCCAAAACTTGGTACAGAGAAGTTCGATGAAACGCATTCGATGAAATGGCGTTTGAGGAAATGTTCATTCATTTGATGAAACGGCGTTCGATGAAATGTCGGCTACCCGTTTTTTGTACGTTATTTTCTAAAAAAATTCAAAAGAAAAAAAAATAGACTTTTTGTAGACTCAAAAAGAAATTGTGATGACGTTTTTGTAAGTTATTTTCTTAAAAAATAAATAAAAAGAAAACTTGTTGACATTATTTTTTACAATATTTTATAGAAAGGGGAAATATTATTTTTTGTTATTTTATTAAACATATTCGGAGCTTTTTTTTTTTTTAATTTAGAAGAATAGCAGCTCACTTTTTTTTTAATATTGAAGGGGAAAGACATTTACAGATTTTCCCCTGTTGAAATATTTGTAAGAGTTCTAAAAATGATAGTAAGTTGATTTGCACTTTTTCTTTCAATTTAGGATACTTTTTTTTTTTTCGGAATCAGAGGACAAAGGCAAATGAACTTCTTCATTTCCTTTGTCCACCGTCCGACGTAACACCGTCCGACGTAACAAAAATAAAATTAAACTTACGTCCCACGTAGCATAAAAGTTTGCTGTGCCTTGCGTTACGTCCGGACGGACCGCTGAAACGAGTGACCTTAATAACCCCCCCCCCCCTCCCCCCCTTCTCTTTCTCGCCCGTAAACACTGAAAATCGATAACATTTCTTCTAGGAGCTGTTTTTGTGTATGCTGTTTTAGCGAGTGCGCCGAATCATTATTAGTTGTACCAATGCCTTTCAGTAAGAGATAAGAGTCCACGATCTTCGAAACACTGTTTTCACCTTGACATACTCTAGAGAAGGAGATCGGACACTTGGAACCTTAATAAGTGCTGAGGTGGACACCGGCCAAATGATTACCTTCAATATGTAGGCTATATAAGGCTCTGGAGCAGTTAACGGGACTGTGATTCTGGCGTTGAGTGTTTCATGGTGTGTTTCTGTTCATTTCTAATGTGTATTTGAGGGATGTGTATGTACCACAGGGACAATATTTCCTAACAAAATAAAAACAAATATATAAAAAATACACTAAGAGCTTACGTGTATGCAAGCTGCTTACACGTGAAGCAAGCAGCGCACCGGCTCCTTCGCGGCGCGACATGGCTAAAAGCAGAGCGTAGAAGGAGGTGTTGGTAGAACCAACACCACCTGTTGGTAGAACACGTGAAACCGTAGGGACCAGGAGAAGGAGTGAAAATTTGCCGCTCTCCCCTCCCCCCCCCCCCCCCCCCTTTTTTTTTTCGGCCACGCCAGGCAAAAGTATTTGTGGGCCACGCCCACAAATACTTTTGCCTGACACGTGACCCGGGAGGCGGGAGAGGGGGCGGCTGCGCGCGCGCCACAGCGCCATGGAGAGGCCTTCCCTGTGGGGTGCCGTTCCTTGCAACTATGACGCGTCCCGTTCGGTCAGCTAATGGAAAATGGGAATTTAGCTCGCGTTTTTGAGCGGGTACACAGACGCCGCGGGAATTTAGGTCGCGTTTCTCGCGGTTAGAGACGCCGCCGGCTTTGCTCCATGGGATAGTTAAAAGGACGCTGACAATCACACCCCCCCCCCCCCCCCCCCTTTTCCTCTAAAAAAAAAAAAAAAAAAGTTTTATATTTTGCCAGGTTACCTCTTATCGTCTCAGAAGACTACCCACTCAATATTTTGCTACAGCGTCACATATATTTTTAATAAAGTAAAAAAAAAAAAACAAGAAAGAAACGCAACTGCTCGAAACCGGAACCGAAACTGGACTGGGGAGGAAGAAGAATTATAGAGGAGGAGAAAGTTACCAAAAGTCACGTGGCTGTGCAACTTTTTTTTATTTCTTCTCTCAATCAACGTATTTCCAGATTTTTACAAGCCACAAAAAATGGGTATAATATTTTTGTCTATTTTTAGCTTGGAGTGTGTGCCTTCGATGACCCACGACTTTTATTATCTTTGGTGGTTGTGTCTAAACCATAGAAAACGGTAGGTGGTTATCATTTGAGCCTGTTCTCGTTTGGCCCTTCTCAGAACAACCATTCTCAAAAAGATCTTCTCACTTTGACCCGTCGCATTTGACTCTTTCCACTCCAAAATTCTTTTTTTTTTTTTTCGGTTAATATTAATAAATACATATTTTTTTTTTGTCTGTGTGTGTGCCACGCTACTGCCTTACTCTCTCTGCTAAGGATTTTGGCAGTGCCTTGAGGTCGTCGTGTAAAGCTACTGGCTGACAATAAAGCAGACCGTCGCAGCCAGATCACATTCCGAAATGGCACCTTGTTTCAGGTTTCTCGACTGGGAATAATGACACAACTTCTATAATGTATGCTATTTCTGTTTGGAGTTTACAAAGTAAATATTCATCGTGTTTTCTTTTCTTTTTTTCTTTTTTTTTTTTCACTAGCGTTCGTCTAGATGAAGGGAAACAGGCTTCATTGTACGATTCTTAATGCGTACCTATACGTGCACATAACACATATCTGATGGTATGTTACGGGTCCAAGCAAGGTAAGACTCACCAACAAAGCGGCGAAGGCATAACGACGGTAGAAGCATGCCGAACTACTGCCTATCAGTCGTAGCGCGAACAAGCTAAATAAGAATAAACTAAGTTGCAAAAAAAAAAAAAAAAAGACACAATTTGGATTTTATGAGAAGGTTCAAACGAGGCGGACCAAATGAGAATGGGACAAAATGCGCACGGTCAATATGCGAATGGGACGTTTCCAGATAACGAGCAAAATTAAAATACGCTCACTAGCGAAAAAATAAAATAAAAAAAGACCGTTCGGATTTTATGGAAGGTACAAACGAGAAGGACCGAAAGAGAAATGAGAAAGAGACAAAATGCGCAAGGTTCAAATGTGAATGGGAAGTTTTGAGAATACACCCGAAAACGGTACGTGACCACGGAGAAGAGAGTGAGCGCGACTCAAACGGGCCAGTTCTCGATCGGCGGTTTTCGGGCGGAAAGAAAACGAATTTCGAGCCGCAAATTGTTTCCCGGGTAGTAGGGCTCTCATATGTCATATAAAAATAAATAAAAAAACCTTGGCGAGCATGAATACCCTGTTAGTGTCCCTTTAATGCTTTCGCATTAAAATTTAAGGGCCGCCCTTAGGGCCGGCCTTGAGCACTTGTCAACTGTCTGCATAAAAAAAAAAAAAAAAAAAAAAAAAAAAAAAAATCGAAACGATTTTAAATTGCTTTTGCAGCCCCGGTCGGTGCCCTGGTGGTACGGTACAAGCAATCACGCGACGGGAAGGTGGCGCCATCTAGAGGCTGCACAGGAAACGTCGAGTGCTGGCGCCATTTTTAAAAAGGGAGGTAGGGTTAAACCCACTGATCTCAATGACAATAGACATAGAGATCAGTGGTTAAACCGGTTAAACCGGAAAGGTGATGCAGGCAACGTCAAATCGAATAGAGTGCGACAAGCGTCGCTGCAGGTAGCCGCGCCCTGATTGGGTGAGGTGTACTGTGACGTCAGGGGAAGGACTCCGCTCCGCGATCTCGCATCCGGCTAGCTTCCCTGCACCCGTT